GCTACGCGAAGCCGGTTTTGAAAGTTGGACTTATACGCTACGCGAAGCCGGTTTTGAAAGTTGGACTTATAGGGCTAAAATGGCATACAAAAACGGCTCCGCAAGGGAGGTAATGAAGCAAGTGGTAGATGCAAAACCCAAACAGAAAAATACCCTTCTACAACACTGAATAGGGACCAAAAATATGATGTTTTCCAGTAGATGACAAGGCAGGGTGGCAAAATCTGCATTTTAGCCTACTTGCGAGTAGCAAACCATTTTCAAAACGAACGTGAAATGTTTTGTTCCAATTTGGGCGATTTGGTCTATACTTGTTTGCTGCGCGCATAACATAGTAATTCTAGGCTAACAATTGGTTTAAGAACACATAACGTTTTCAAAACAGGATATCATGGTTAGTAGAGGCCGGTCTTCGGACCGGGCGAGAGGGGGTGCTCATAGCTGACCTTCCCCGATCGTACCCAAGCTCCCGAGCCGAGGCAACTTTGGTGATGACGGACACGTGGCCTTTGGCACCGAGTCAGGATTTCCTAAATTCCCCCTTAATAAAATATTTAGGTGGCGACTCTGTATCTGGCAAAGCAGTCTATGTTTGGCACTTCTTTCAAAATCTGTTTTCTCAAAACGATTTGCCGGATTTAGACTCTTTGGTTCAGATTTAGAACCGTGACTACAAAAGTCGAGTTCGAGCTGTAGCGAGGTCCCCCGCGAGCTTGTTACAATGATCAATTAAAAATCTATCTATATTAAATGATTCACTGAAGAGTGTAAACAATTAAAAATCTATCTATATTATTATTATTATTATTATCTATATCTATATCTATATTATTATCTATATCTATATCTATCTATCTATATATCTAATTATTATCTATATCTATATCTATCTATCTATATATCTATATTTATATCTATCTATCTATTTATACTATATACTATATATTAAGCAAAAGGAGGTTTTTAACACCCAAGGTCTATATCCCAATTTGAATTTTCTAAATTTTTTATTAGAAAAAAAAACTCAGCATTTATTGATTTGGTCAAAATCCTCTGATCAGCATTTATTAACTTTTTTCAATCCACCTATATTTCCACATGCCTGCATTTATTGATTTGGTCAAAATTCCCTAATCAGCATTTAAAATACCCTCATACAAATAATTAGAGATACAATCCGTGTATAGTTACTGCAGTGCCCTTTTTAACTTTTCCCATACACTATGGTAGTGATAAGATTGTTAAATTATTTTTATAAAAAATCTTAAAAAATATAATTTATATATTAAAAAAAATCTAAAACAAATATAAATATCTACAATTATATGCACGGGTGATAGGCTAATTTGATATAAGTAAATAAGGTTTTCTTAATATTTTGATTAACTTAACAATTAGTTTTTTTATTTATTTATTAGTAATTCGTTACTCATGATAAAAAATAATATTGTCATATTTTTTACATTAAAATGTATATTTTGTGTTTTCAGACCATTTATGTTAATTTAATTACACTTTGTACCCGTCATATTTGTTTATTTTCTCACTTTGACCTTTGAATTTTTATTTTTATTTTTTCATTTGGACATTAAGTGTCAATTATGAGAAATATTGTAATTTATCCAAACCATGTGGGAGGCTAGTGTAATTTACCCAAGATATTTTTGGGGATTGGAAGATGGAGGTTTTGGGGGTTTTAGCAGAGCAACTCACAACCTCCCTCTAGGGTTTCTCTTCCACCCCACATTTCCCCTCATCATCTCATCCCCAGCTCCGCCGTATTCCGCCACTCTCCTGAATGCAAACCCCGCCGTGATGGGCGGCGCGTCGAGGTTCATCATGCTTCTCACCACTCCCTTCCCCTTTATGAGAAATTTATTGTAATTTATCCAAACCACATGGGAGGCTAGTGTAATTTACCCAACATATTTTTGGGGATTGGAAGATGGAGGTTTTGGGGGGCTTTTTCCCATATTAAGCCTCTTTTACATCTTATTTCTCAAATTAGACCTAGTTTGGACGGATTTCCCAAACAAGGCTAAAGCGCTATTACAAATTGCGCTTTCACTGTTTGGAGCCCAAAATTTGATGAATAGTGAAAACGCTATTAAAAAACGCGCTTTTGATTAAGAAAGCGCTGTTTCAAATCACGCTTTTAACATAAAAAAAATTTCTGAAGAAAACGCTATTTGAAATAGCGCTTTCACTGTGCATATGACGAAATCGCGGTTCCAAACCACGCTTTTATTGTGCATATCTGTTTTCTTAAGAAAATGTTTATAATATATTAAAATGTGATCAATATAAAACATAAGTGCTCTGTAGCACAAATGGTAGTGCCCTTGTTTTGCACTACAATGGCGTGAGTTCAATCCGCGGGAGTGGCTACCTTCCAATTAAGTTATATAAAGTATAGAGTGTGTGAAAAAATACAAAAATACAAAAAATATACTGAAAAAATTAATACAAAATATTAATTTTTTCAGCAAAATGTACTCAAAAAATGTATTAATATTTAAAATTAATATTTTGTATTAATTTTTTTAGTGTATTTTTTATATTTTTGTATTTTTTCACTCACTCTATACTTTATATATTTATTATGTAATTTTTTTATCAAAAAAAAGTAAAATGTTTGTTTAGTTAACTAAAAATCAACTCTATAAAATATAATTTTTTTCAAAATGTCAACATGATTGTTTAAAAAGTATTCAGTGTATTTGGTTTGAATTTTTTGGATTTAATTATTTGAAAATTGAGTTTTTTTTTTTTATTTTCGTATTTTTTTTTGTTTTTAGTAAATATTTTTAAAATTTTAAACATTTTTTTTTACTTTTTTAGATGCACCTTAGTTAGATGTATCTAAAAAGTAAAAAAATTGTGAAAAAATTAATAAATACATAAAAATACAAAAAATTTATTGAAAAAATATTTTTGTATTTTTAGTATCTTTTCAACAAATTATCATTTTTTTCAGCAAAATGTACTCAAAAAAATATGCACAGTGAAAGCGTACTCAAAAAATATTTTTTCAACAAAATGTACGCTTTTAAAATGTACTAAAATATTTTAAAAGCGTACGCTTTTTTATTTTTTCATAAATATATAAAGTATAGAGTGTGTGAAAAAATACAAAAATACAAAAAATGATAATTTGAGTACATTTTTTGAGTACGCTTTTACTCCATGTTTGTGCTTTCACTGTGTATTTTTATGTATTTATTAATTTTTTAAAATAGTTTTTCACAATTTTTTTACTTTTTAGATACATCTAACTAAGGTGCATCTAAAAAAGTAAAAAAAAAATGTTTAAAATTTTAAAAATATTTACTAAAAACAAAAAAAAATACGAAAATAAAAAAACTCAATTTTTAAATAACTAAATCCAAAAAATTCAAACCAAATACACTGAATACTTTTTAAACAATCATGTTGACATTTTGAAAAAAATTGTATTTTACAGAGTTGATTTTTTGTTAACCAAACAAACATTTTATTTTTTTTTATAAAAAAATTACATAATAAATATATAAAGTATAGAGTGAGTGGAAAAAAAAAAAAAAATGAACTTATTTGAAAGGTAGCCACTCCTGCGGATTGAACTCAATCCATTGTAGTGGCATAACAAGGACACTACCATCTGTGCTACAAAGCACTTACATTTTATATTAATCACATTTTAATATATTATGAACATTTTCTTAAGAAACCAGATTCGCACAATAAAAGCGTGGTTTGGAACCGCGATTTCGTCATATGCACAGTGAAAGCGCTATTTCAAATAGCGTTTTCTTCATAAATTTTTTTATGTTAAAAGCGTGATTTGAAAGAGCACTTTCTTAATCAAAAGTGCGTTTTTAAATAACATTTTTACTATTCATCAAATTTTGGACTCCAAACAGTGAAAGCACGATTTGTAATAACGCTTTAGTCTAGTTTGATAAACCCATCCAAAGTAGGCCTAGTTTAGAAAATAAGATGTAAAAGAAGCCTAATATGGGAAAAAGCCCGGTTTTGGGGGTTTTAGCAGAGGAACTCACAACCTCACTCTAGGGTTTCTCTTCCACCCCACATTTCCCCTCATCATCTCATCCCCAGCTCCGCCGTATTCCGCCACTGTCCTGAATGCAAACCCCGCCGTGATGGGCGGCGCGTCGAGGTTCATCATGCTTCTCACCACTCCCTTCCCCTTCCTCCTCCATCGCCCCCGCTCCTCCCTGCTCCGCCTCGCTCGCCACTCTCGCCTCTCCTCCTCTCTCTCTCCTCACTATCTCACTCCTCAATTGAGCTTCCCTATCAAAGCCTCCCAGCAAATCCACACCCAAACAAGCGCAGTCCGAGAAGACAGAGACAGAGAATCCCTCGGATTCTCTCCCAATGCTCCGGCTTTGCACCCTTGGCCCGAGTGGTCTAAACTTATTCATTCACTCTCCGAAAGTGGCTATTTTGATCATCACAGACTCGCAATTCAAGCAGAGGATGAGTTTGTGGCGATTGAGGAATTCTCAGATGAATTCCTCCGTGCCTCGGCTGTTTGTTTGGCTTTTTCTCGTGACCGATCGGATCTTTTAGGGTTTGTTGCCGCCTCAAAGTCCATTTTTTTTCTCTTTTTTTTTTCTTGATGCTATTTGGGTCTGTTAGCTTACTCTCTTTTTGCTGTGTTTGTAAAGTGCAGGTCACTTTCTAGGAGAGATATTGGGGTGATTGTGGAAAATGGAACACCATTTCTTTTCAAAAGTGCTCTAGATACTGCAAGGAGGATGAGAGCATTTCTCGGCATCAGTGCAATCAATGTAAGCTTAATGATTGTTGTTTTACTTTGAAATTATGCTTTAAAATGTGTTACTTTTGTGTGTGTGTGTGTGTGTGTGTGTTTTAATATCTCTTGGAATAGTTGATTTGGAACCCCCCGTGCGCACGTGTGTGTTGATATCTCGTGGAATAGTTGATTTGGACCACATGTGTGTGTGTGTGTGTGTGTGTTTTGATATCTCTTGGAATAGTTGATTTGGACCACACAATTTTGATGTATTGTGCAGTTCTAATTTATTAACTTGGAGAAAAAGTCATTTTATGATTAGCAAAAATAAGTAATTCTGATTTCGGTTCCTTCCCATTTGAGCTATATTTTGTGTTTGTTGCTGGAAGTTTAATACATTTTGCAAAATAAATAAACAGATAAAAACTGAGGGAAAAAAAAGAAAGAAAGAAAGAAAAAGTCAAAAGGTTCAAGCTGCCTTTGCTGGCCAAGAAATCTCAGTTAAAAGTAAAACATACATTCATAGGGAATCCATACAATTGTGATTTATCGTTGCAGTTCTGATTGTCAAAGTCATTTAGTATAAATAAGTTTCTATTCTGGCTTAGGTTCCTTGTTTTCATTCTGGATTGTACTTAATATTTTGTTTACTGCTGGAAGTTTAAGGCATTTTGCTAAAAAACGAAAAGAAAAAATGTGGAATGTTAAAGGTTGCTGCCTAACAAAGTTCAATTAAGGTGTGACATAAACATAATATATAAATCTTTAGATATAGTTGTGTGATTAGTGGAAAGAATTAAGAAATAAATAGCAAACTCTATGGCTATGATGTAACTAGTCTTGACGAATTGGAGAAGTGGTGGCAGTGACTAGTGAGTTCAGACAATATGGTGGTGGTATGAATGTCGAAATTTGGAAGAAGTGGTGTTGTGTGATTTTGGGGGTTTTATTGGTAGTGACAGGGATCAGAGGAGGTGTTTTGCAATATACTAGAAAGACAATGGAAATGGATTTTGCCTTCTAAAAGTAATACCATCAATTCTGAAGTAAACCAACGCCCCCTCCCCCGCCGGGGGGCCAAAAAAAAAAAAAAAAAAAAAAAAAAAAAAAAATACCATTGCCCTTGAAGGCTCTTTACCTTAAAATTTGAGCAACCCAATATGCAGCCCTCAAATTCAAAGTCATTTTAAAGCTTTGCACTCTATTCCTTTCAGTAATTCTAATACACTGCCCTCTTGATTCATCATCTATCGGTAATATAAAGAGTGTCTGTTCAATCTTTAAAACACTGTCTCAGTTCTTATGAACCCATTCTGTGAAAGGAAAAATAGGAAGATCAGCAAATAGCAACAATAAAGAGAACAAAAACAAACAACAATGAAGGAAAATAAAAGGAACTGACATTAAAGAAATCACACCAAATAAAGGATATGCAAAGGGGACAACAAAGATTAATGAAAAGCTGCAAGAAAAATCCCAGAACAATAAAATATGGAAGGAAAAGAGATGTAGAAGACGAAAGACAAAACTCTGGAGAATGGATGTGTGGGTTGGAAGGATTCTTTTGATCGTTTATTTCCTCATTTGTATCAGCTTTCTTGTTCTCACATTGTTTCTATTGCTAGCATTAAGGGTAGGAATTTTCGACATGACACGACAAGACACGACTTGTATCGACTTGAATTGTTTATATATATATATATATATTTTAAAACACAAATGGAAACCGTATATTTTATAAATGTTTTAGGAACCTTCTCTAGGATCCCGATTATACTAAGTTATTTTGTATCTTAGCAGGGATGGCAAAATACCCCTACCTTCTCTGACCCTAATAAAATGGGTTTGGGGGTTTCCCCATTATTATCCCTAACTAAAAAAGTGTCATCAGAGATGAAATTCTGAATGTCCTTGACGCTGAATAAATTATCAACATTACTGTAACTAGAACAGGGTAGTGTCCGGTTTGGGGGTGAGAGTGAAAGACCTGATAGGGTTCAGGTTGGGTTTGTGGGAGGATAATCCCGCCCCACCCCTGACCCAATTATGTGTATTATGGTTAAACAAATTTTTGTTACTTTTTAATGATATAAAATTATCTTTAGGATTTTTTTCTCTTCTCTTTTATTTTTCTTTATATCACACTTCTCTCTCCATTTATTCTACAAAGATCAACGTCAAAAATTTTCTTTATATCACACTTCTCTCTCCATTTATTCTACAAAGATCAACGTCAAAAACACCAATTGTTACAAGTCATTTATCATCTAAAGTTATAAAATCACGTTATTAACATTCAATACTAAAAATAAGTTGTAAAGTTAAACTGGGCGGGTAGGGTCGGAGTTGAGATTATACTAAGTGGGGGTGGGGCGAGGGTGGGGAGGAGGTCCCCCGACACATACCTGCACAGTTGCCATCCTTATTAGGAAAAGGCCATAAGATTTTATAATTCCCTTGCTTATGTAACCTGTCTTTTGGAAATCAAACAATGAGACATTCAAATTTGGAATATATAAGTCTAAACTGGAAACATATAATCATTAATTATGAAAGAAAACAATTAAAAATGTTCATTTCTCTACCTATACTTGTTGTGATTTTGAATGTAGTTGATCTCAATACACTTCGTTCCAGAGTAAATAGTCAAAACTGTTCATGGTTTAACTTAGTTACATTAGAATTAGTAGCCTGTCTTTTGTCTATATGAATTCTAATTTTATTTCAAATTTTAGGCATTTGAATCTGACAAAGCTCACACAGTTGATCTGATGAAGTATTTATTGAGTTATGCAAGCAATCCTACTGTTTCTTCAGAAAGAGGCAATCTGTACCAAGGACAGCTTGTTGAATCATCTGTTCGGAATCTGTTGAGTGAGTTGTCTAGGTTGGGCTGTGGTGTTCCAGCACCAAAGCCTTCTGCGTCAGTGCAACATCAGTTCCCAGATGGATATGGACAAACTCCAAGGCCTCTTGGACAGAAAATTGAAATGAAGAGAGGTGATTGGATATGCCCAAGGTATTTTATTATTATTACTACCATCAATTCCTTTCCTTTGTTTGTACTTGTTCAGCAAAACTAGTACCATTGTCTCAGTTTCCCCTGCTTGTATGTTGTCGCAATTAGCAACCTGGATGGGCACATGCATGAGAATTCAGCGTGTGCCATTGGCACCTGCACACGCATGAGGAGGAATCTTCACTTAAACTTGCTATATCAAGACCTTCTTGGAAATGATTTTTTAAATTAATTAATTTATTTTTATGTTAGTCATGTGGCATCATATTTGGTATTCTACCTTTAATAATGAGCTGCATTGAACAGGTGCAGTTTCATGAACTTTGCAAGGAACTTTAAATGCCTTGAATGTGAGGAGGCAAGACCAAAGAGACAGTTGACTGGTGGGGAGTGGGAGTGTCCTCAGTGAGTATTGCTTCCTTTATATGCTTAACTACTAGGAACATTTATTCAAAGGGCAAAATGGTTAAATTCACCCTTTTCTTTTCCTTCTCAAGGTGTGATTTCTTTAACTATGGGAGAAACCTAGTCTGCTTAAGGTGCGATTGCAAAAGACCTGGAGACGCTTCATTTGGCACTAGCAAATCCAGCTCAGCTTCGGAATATGCTAATGGGGTCCATGCAAATAAGCCTGATATTGAGAGCCGATTGGCTGCCAATGAAGAGAAGGCACAGCGGTGGTTTAGTAAACTTTCTCAACTGGACAGTGCCTCTGATTTGAGCAGCGCTGCAGCTGATGAAGATTTTCCTGAAATCATGCCTATGAGGAAAGGGGTAAACAGGTTTGTTGTGAGCACGAGGAAGACTCCGTTGGAGCGTAGGCTGGCTAATTCTCAATATCAAAGAAATGATCAAACTGGCAGTGTAAGCGCACCAATCAGCCAGAGTTTGGATGAGATTCTTGGTCGCAAATCTGCCGTTTCTGATGTGGATAAGAAGAATTTTGCTGATGGACAAAATGCTGGAACAAAGAGTTCTCTCTCTGAGTCTAGTTCAGCTTCTCCACAGTATGGGCACCCCAAGAGCAATTCCAGTTATGTTCCATTTGTGCCATTACCTGATGACATGTTTGCTAAAAAACCTCAGAAGATGGAGGGTAGTGAGAAGGCGGTGATGGAAAGCATTGAATCTGTTTCTCTGAAGTTCAGTGAGCAAACAAGCACTGTTTCGGCGAGCAATGAGTCTGGAAAGTTAGTAGACAGTTTGCAGTTATCTGAAAAGCCATCAAATCAGGTTGAAAACTCAGAGCAGCATGATGCTCCGGACTTGGCAAGTCCAACTTCAGACGAGGACTTCCCAGAGATCATGCCAATGCGTAAGGGAGAAAATCATTTCGTAGTAAGCAAGAAAAAAGATCGTTCTTTAACTTCTCCTATGTACAAAAGGAGGATGGCCATGGAGCAATCAGGTAGTACCAATTTCGTTCCTTTTGTCCCATTCCCACCTGACTACTTTGCTAAAAAGGACAAACAGCAGCCAGATGGGGCAGTTTCTACTGCAGAAGATACAGGTGAAACTTCTTTAGGTTCTACGATATCCCAAAACTCGGAAAATAATAGACCTTGGGTGTCTGATATAAATCATGTGCAAAGAATGGAAAATCAACATAACAGCACGAGGAGGCTGAATTTGGAATCGTCTGGAGAAAACTTAAATGAGAGAAAGCCTGGGATCACTTCTGGGTCATCAAGCAGTGGAAACTTAACAGACAATTCCTTCAAGTCAGAGAGTAATAACCAGGATGATTGGAGTACTCAATTTTCTGGAAAGGAGAGTAGAATTGAGAGGCCAAATTTGACAGGGAATTCAACCCAACAGCCTGAAAATCAGAATGTTAGGAGTGGCTGGACAGGAAAGAGCTTGGAGGGTTCGGCAGTGCAGGAACCTGATCCTTTGGACATGTCAGAAGAGGCCAAGGCACAAAGGTGGTACCGGCGTGTTGCCCAGATCAAGGACATCTCTGAGCTGAGTAAAATCCCTGATGAAGACTTCCCATCAATAATGCCAATGCGGAAAGGAGTGAACAGGTTTGTGGTGAGCAAGAGGAAAACACCTCTAGAGAGAAGGTTGATATCTCAGCAGTACAGGAGGAATCTTCCAATAGTGAGCTCAGATCCAGTGAAGAAGGAAAATGAAGGTAGCTGAAAAACATAGTAGGTTTTTCATCTGTGCAAACCTTGTTTGAGTTTTGTAGTATATTTTGTTTCTGGTAAACATTCTTAAGAAAATGAAAGAGACCCGAAAAAGTCATTGCCCCCTCTCCCCCCTCTCCCCAATCCCTTTCCCAGCCACATTGTATCATAATAACCACATTTTTAGGTGTGCAACTTTTGGGCGCATGTTGCTGGTTTCTTACCATCATGTTGTTAATTTTGCAATTGCAATGTTTGATCATAGCCATAAATTTTGCTTCATTTGTTATTATTTGTTATTGTGTGTTTTTTTCCGTCTAATTAAATGAAGCACCTCATTCTATTATCCATGTTGCGTCTCTCTCTTTTGAACAAATTTAGGGGTATGGATATGTGTCCCCCCCTCCCCTTCTCTACGTAATATGGCCGTTTCACTATTTCCATGTTTCTTCTTGTGCTCATTGACGTTGAGTCATGCTGACAATAACGTCATACAAGATGCCTTAACCTCAAGACTAGACACTGAGGAGCAGTCATAGAGTTGCTTCCTATTTTTTTGGTCTAATGCGCTCAACACACTTGCTCAGCTTGGCTGACTGAATTTTGAATGAATTTCTATTCAACTGTGTTGCCTTTCCACCTAAGGACTAAATGCTTGGAACCTTTGTCTCAGATAACCGACTCTCCATCTGAGTGTGTTTCTCCTATGCCTTGGTTCCTTATTTTCAAAGTTCTCTCCAAAGGGCATCCTGATGCTGTCAAGCCACCTATGGTGGAGAGCAGGGCCTAGGGAACCCACAAAGTTGGTGTTGTGGTCATGGAGTGCTCAAGCAACCTCATGACCTTTGTCTCAGAAAACCGACTCACCATCTGAGCGTGTTTCTCCTATGCCTTGGTTCCTTATTTGAAAGTTCTCTCCAAAGTGCACCCTGATGCTCTCATGCCACCTATGATCGAGAGCAGGGCCTAGGGAGCCCACAAAGTTGGTGTTGTGGTCATGGAGCGCTCAAGCAACATGATGACATTTGTGTTGAACTTCAAGGAATATGTGAGTTAGCAGCTAGAGTTGATCGTTTGTAAAAGCACTCATCCCTTTTTATTCTGGGACTTGCACCTTGAATAGTCTGAGAGAGAGACCTCAACAAGATGACTCCAGACCACTTTCGCTTTTTTTCCTTCTCCTTCTCCCTCTCAATCTCCTTGAAGTTTAAACCCTACTTAGGAAGCACTCGGGTAATTGTCTCCTGTGGTATTTGGTAATCTTATGTTTCTCTAAATGTAGAAAATTCTCTTCCTTCGTATCTTGTAAACTGAATTTATTTCTTTAAACTCCTCAAAGTTGATGTTGATGTTGACAACAATGAATTATTATTATTTGTTTCATAATCACTCTTTCTTTTCCTCTAATCTCCTATTTGTTTCTACAGGTTTGGCATCTCTTTTAAATTGCTCAGAAATAATAATAATTATACTAATAGAATGCTTTACCTATCTTGTCTTATAAATGAATTCTTGGTGCTGTTAGATGCCCCTGAATTGTGTCTGTGCTATATAGATTTATCATCCAGAGAGCATCTACCTCAGATTAGCTTTACAGGGTGTAGAGAGGGTTTGAATCCTGCAAGGGGCATCTTTTCATTTTTCTGTTGTCAATAAATACATTCTGTTGTAACTTTTATCATTGAAGAGGTCACGGGACACTCTGTTTCTCAGAAAAATGTGTTATTGTATTTGTTAGTTGCTTCAAAGGTTTTGAGCTAATTGACACTACTGAATGAAATAGAAAATGGAATAGAATTGAATGGCTCCTTTATACATGAAGGTGATAGTAATGAATGCTCTGTTTTTGGCTCCTGCGTATGTATAATTGTTTTGCTTCTATAAAATTACAAATCATTGAAGATGATGACATTTTTAGTGGTTTCATTTCTGTAAATCTTATTATACTCCCTTTTGCATGTGAATACATCATGTCAGCATATGATCTTTGGTTGGTTTGAATGAATGAAATGATTATTCTTTGGCTTTTTAATGGAATAACCGTGTCTTAGGCAGGATCTTCTGGGCCTAATCCATGAGCGTAAATTTGAGGATCAAACGATACTCCTTAATCACATGATTAGGGCAAATGGGAGGAAACGACAATAGTCGAACCTGAGTTGGGCCAATGAAAAGCAAACTTACCAAAACCCAGTAGGTTATATCTCATGGCTATGTTTTTTTCAGAACACCCTCGGGTATGTTGAAATATAACTTGACATACTTAAATTTGAAGGTCTGGACAATATTGCTGCATATGATTTAGTGATGCAAGTTCTCTAGTTAAATTATACTCGAATTTTATAGATTATGTTTGGATTTATGGATTTGAAATAAAAAAAAGTTTAGAGGTAGCGTTTGGTAACACTTACGTTTTCAGTTTTCAGTTTATATTTACAAAAATTTAAATAACTGTCATAAAAATTTGTTTGGTAAATATTTTGGTTTATAAACCAGTGGTCTCAGTTTATAAATTTGGCCAAAATTTGTATACTCAAAAAATGAGTTTACGTTTTCAGTTTTTTTTTTTTTTTTTTGACCACCCACCACTCGCCATCACCTGCCACCATTTTCCACCACCGTCTTCCGCCACCACCGCCCTCACTACCGTCTTCCGCCACCACCACCCACCACCACCCTCCACTACCGTCTTCTGCTGCCAACACCTACCACCATCTTTCGTCACCACCACCATCTTCCGCTGCCACTTTCCACCACCACCATCTTCCTTTGTCGCCACCCTGCCGCCACTTTCTGCCACCTGCCGCCACTTTCCACCACCGTCTTCCGCTGCCACCACTTTCCACCATTGTCTTCCCCACCTGCCACCTGCCACCACTTTCCACCATCGTCTTCCGCCGCCACCACTCGCCACCACCATCTTTCGCCACTACCACCCGCCACCACTTTCCACCACCTTCTTCCACTGCCACCACTTGCTACCTACCACCACCGTCTTTCACCGCTACCACCTGCCACCTGCTACCACTTTCCATCACCGTCTTCCGCCGCCACCACTCGCCACCACCCACCGCCACCACCTGCCACTACTTTCCACCACCGTCTTCCACCGCCACCACCCGTCACCTGCCACCACTTTCCATCACCGTCTTCTGCCAGCACTAGTCACCACCCGCCACCATCTACCGCCACTTTCCACCACCGTCTTCCGCTGCCACCACTTTCCACCATTGTCTTCCGTCACCACCACCTGCCACCACTTTCCACCACCGTCTTCCGTCACCTCCCTCCATCATTGTCTTCTGCCGCCACCACCCACCACCTGTTGCTATTACCTATCACACGCGACCCGCCATCATCGTCTTCCGTCACCACCACTCGCCACCACCCACCACTACCATCTTCCGTCGCCACCCACCTGCCACCACCGTCTCCCGCTGCTACCATCCGTCACCACCCACCACCCGCCACGCCACCACTCGCCATTTCTCACTCTTTTAGTTTATATTTTTTAAAATTTTCAAACATTTTGTCCAGACCAAATGCGTTTGTAATTTATGTTTTTCTAAAAAATAAACAAAAACTAGTTTATAAAATTTTTGTAAATATAAACTGAAAACGTAAGTGTTATCAAACAAGTTTAAGGATAATTTCTCAAATTTAAACTGGAAAGTTTAGAAATGAATTTTACAATTGATTTTGAGAATTTCAACATGATGGATTAGGATAGTTTAGACATGAATTTTAAGATTAAGTTTGAAAGCTTTATCATTATGGATTGAAAACAACACAAGTAATAATAAAATTTATGGAGAGATTGGGGAATTATTTTGTCTTGTGCCTCTTGGTTTCCAAGGGAGAGATTAAAGATTCAAATTTATGAAGAAATATTGAAAGTCCATTATTAATAAGAGAAAATTGGTAATAAATCTAATATGAGGATTGCTTGAGGCGTTAGGTTTCATGAGTAATTCTTTTTTTTTTTGGGTGAAAAATACATTCTTTGTGAAATATTGTGGTGAGAAGTACATTTTGTTGTTTTGAAAGATATTTTATTTCTAATTTTGCACTTTAACCTATTTGTTCAAATCTTTTTTACTTGTTCAATTTTGTGAATCTATCTGTTCAAATTTGTATCCATCTGTCAAAATTGTTTTTAATATTTTTTAATCTATCTGTTGCAATTCACTAAGCTTATTTCTCCTATTTGTTGAAATTCACCAAATTTGTATCTATCTATTGAAATTTACAAAGCCTATTTTCCTTATCCGTTGGAATTCACTAAGCTTGCTTTTCCTATTTATTCAATTTATTTTTTTCATCCTAGAGAGAGAGAGAGAGGCGTCTCTGTTCAATTTTTTTTTAACTTTATCTGTTCAATTCATCAACAACAATCGAACCGCCTAAAACCTACCGTCTTTCTCTCTCTTCGAAACCCCTTTCTGTACATGTTGAACATAGAGAATCACAACACAAGAAGCCCCTGTATCTGTACAATGTTCACAACTAAGAGTCTATCTGTCCATGCTTCCGATTCAATGAAACCGCATCAAAAGAAGCATATGCCCAGCTTGTTTTAATTCATCTAACTAGTCAGACCAGTATCATTCAATCCATTGACAACAAAACACCTATAACACCTATAGATCTGAACCCCAAAATTACAAAACACTTATAGATTTGAACCCTAGAATTACAAAACACCAGTATCATTCAACCTAGCATCTCTGCTCAGCTTGCCTTAATTCTCTCTCTTTCCTTTTTCCCTCATGCTCTTTCTTCTGCCGCACCAATCTCATATATAAACTTCCCATACACTCTCTCTCATGAGCTCAAAAAACTATATACACAAATTTTCAGAGAGCGAGAAAGAGCCAGAGAGAGAGAGAGAAAAAGTGGTGGTAACGGTGAGGAAACGACGTGGCATCTTCGAAGGTTGCATTTTCGGCGCCGATTGGGTGATTCAGTGGTGGCCTGGAGTATTATTGTTCGTCGTGTTAGAGTATATAATATATTAGTAGATTAGTGAGCCTCCTTTTCGGTGCCTTTAGGTGCTAGTGCTTCACTTTCCATCATGAGCGACTTATACATGATACTGTGTATAATTTTTTTTTTTTTTGAAGATGTGAAGTGGAGGTGGAGTGGTGTAATGGAGTAGGTGAAGTGGAGTGTGTAGTGGAGTAGGTGAAGTGGAGGTGGAGTGGTGTAGTGAGAGAGAGAGAGAAAGTGGTGGTGACGGTGAGGAAACGACGTGGCATCTTCGAAGGTTGCATTTTCGGCGC